ATAAAAATCAGTATTTTTCTTTTTACTTGTCAATTCATTTCCATCTTTTTCCCCTTTGATCAATGTGATACCATACGTCATTATGAGATGAATAACACTGGGCGTTTTTCCTGTATATATATGAATGAATTCTTAGCAAAATTTAACATAGCTGACAGCTTCGTTATTATATTTTACCCGTATCAGCTAATCTGACTGCTTTGTACCTTCTGCCTATTCACAGTGGGTGACAAACTGTCCTGAATCCAATATATATATAAAGTAGATTCATATCTAACTGTTTTTGTAATGATTCATGAATAAAATATAAACATATTGTTACGAAGAATATTGAGAATATATATATATATATATATTGGGAGTTGGTAGGACATTTTACCCCCTGTAGGTAGTCGTTAGCTGGTCAGAGTCAAGAATCTACGGTCAACTCTCTCACACAAAACACCAGAAGGGAAGTAAAAAAAATATCAAACAATTATCACCTAGCAAAAGGAGAGGTGGTGAGGACTGGTACTCACCGATGACAATATTTAGTTGTGGCACATGATATATGTCGCCAGCTGATGAAAGTTATGATTCATGTGCCACTGGAATTCGTCTCATTGAGTGCATAGTCCATGAGCGCGCCTAGTGACCTGAGAGTCCTCAATTTGAACCCTACGTGGAAAGAGCCTCAAATGGGGATAAAACGGCTGTCCAGTACGAGCTGTTGATTCTATGGCTCCATTATCATTGTTATGAAGTGATCTAATTCGAAATTAGACAAACCACTATAAACCAACACTTGAAAGCTGTCAGTCACTCTCTTTAGAATTACGTAATCATGAGAGATGGTTCAGTGACTAGCAAGCCTGTGCTCTGAGTAGGGCTTCTTGCAGATGCACTCCCATATCTTGTCTAGTCGACACTAAGCTGGATGAAGACGGAACGTTTGGGTCTCGGCTGGAAGTCTCAACCAGGAAATAATAACTTCATATCTTTAGATCCTATGTTTCACTGGGAAAGAAAAGTAATGGAAAAAAATACTAGGAATGACGTCCGACAAGGCGTTAGAGGGGAAACAATTCTAAATAATGCTAAACCTTCAGCTTTTCAAGAAACAAATGCGTCTTCATTTTAAGGAACTAGGAATTTCTCACTTCGAAGAAAGGACAAACTATCAAATGTTGAAGAAGATTAGATTAGCCTAAAAGTACGCATTAATTGAAAGGAGATATTGCAGAAACGTGATATAAATAGGGGTACAAACTAAAACTGCTTACGACACGTATTTTCTCCCTACCTTCCCCTCCCCTCCATCAAATACACTGCGTTTTCTACCCTAATCTACATTCCCCCTGGGAAAAATGCGTTATAAAAACTAAAATCGAGTTTATTTTAGTCCATATGATATAATTAGAATCATCTGGTAACGCCCCAATCACATTACATATGTCAATGTATGTATAAATACGTGTTTTGCGAAGCGTAATATGGCCTACACAATAAAAAGACTTATTAATTTTGTCAGAGAAAAATTAGCACACACGCGACATTGTTAATCACTGAAGATGAGGTAATTCAACTTTAATTATCTTATTCATTTTTCAAAAGTTAAATACAGTAGTGGCATTGTACACTTAGTATCGAAATTGGAATACCATTTGAGCCAACTGTAAAGTTCTACAAAAATGCATAACCATGAACTGAAAAGCAATCAAAATCAGGACATCCATTCAGGGAATGAGCTAAGCACGCTATTCACTCATCTAAGTGGTTTGAATTCAATGATCTAAGAAGTTTAAGTTTTGTTAACTGGATGTATGATTTCATCTTTATCCACTAATATCGATGAGGATTAGATTGTCAAACGATCTATTGGATTTAAGTGGACTACTGGAATTCTCATGAGAAGTAGTGACTAATAGAAACTTATGATGGTAATGTAGTGTTTCTCAATGTGAAAAGATTAGGTTCATGTGCATCTCTGAAAGGTCTCAAGGCGAGATCAATTGACTCTTTGATGCTTCATAGGTTTCAGTGGTTATATAACTATTATCCCTTCGTAAAATACTATTTAAAGAAGTATCTATGGGAATTCCTACAAACCCTAACTCTATATACATTATTTTCAAGTGTTGGTTTGCAAAAATTTCGCTAGTTTCAGGTTTGATCATCAGTTTGACATCAGTAAGACATCTATAGGAAAACCTGGAATTACTAACCGCGAGTTTTGTCCTTGCTTGTTTGGGACTCCTGATATGTATGCTAGAATTAGAACTCAGGACTTACAGGATTACACGGCAAGCTCATAGACTATTCGGCCATTGGGATCCGATCTAAAAGCGTGTGAATTACAGCTTCTGAGAATTCTTCATATAAATAAGTAGCGTGACCACCAACTAGCGTTATAGGTGAGTGACGGTTCTCTTACTTGACTTGGTGGAACTTAGAACTCCAGCTCACTTTCAGCACAAAGCCAGTCACTAGTCAGCATAATATAAATTACCAAGTGTTGGTTTGCATGGATTTGATTGGTCACAGGTTTGAGCACGAGCTGGCATCTTTGTGTTGGCTAAGAGCCTCGCACTTTAATTAGGCTGCATTCAAGGATATGCCAAAGTCGATACTCCTTAAAGGTTTAATAGTCTGTTCATTTTAATTTCTAGTTGTAATATTTCACGTATGAGAAAAATCTGTAGTCAGCATTCCAATAAACGCAAGAAAGTATTATTAGGACGATTTTGTTCTATATTTTTGGCTTTTGAGTGGAACTTAGGAGTTTAGGCTTCTTTTTTCAGTTTGCGGTAACGCTGGTGATCTCAATTTTACGAGGTGATGACGTAATAAAGAGCACATCAAACAAACTACACACCTTCATTAACAGCTGTCTTCTCTCATTACTCAAGATCAGATAGCCAGCTAGAAAAGATCAGCAACAGGGATCTCTGGCATTGAGCCAACCAACCAGGAACCGATTGTGAAACAAATAGGCAGGAAGAAATGGAGATGGATTAGCTGGGCATACTCTGAGGAAACCCTCAAGTGACATCACTGGACAAGCCATCGCTCGAGCGGAACCCGAAAGGGAAGTGGCGAGTTGGTCGTCCAAGAGTGATTTGGAGCAGGTGATGTGAAGAGGAGATGAAAGCATGTGGGAAGACCTAGAGCCAGGTGAAAATTTTCGCAGAGAACCGAACTCAGTGGAGACGTTTGGCTGAAGCCCTATGTTCCTCTAGGAATTAAAGGAAATAATAATAACTGTCGACACACAACAACTTGAAGTGTTCTGGATTACTAATTTAAGTATAATTTAATCAAGCTCATCTATGCTAACTAGAAAGGGAAAAGAAATATACCACGCACTGAAGTACTTAGTGCGAACCTATTTGTCGGTTTAAATGCATAAGAATACTTGATATTTCTTCCCTCTGGTACTTACTGCATTATCAAATTAAGAAGCTATACATGTCTTAACCTACGGCCTAACTACTTTCACACTCAACTGTAGGCATGCAAGGAATCTTCTGAGGTGAAAGCGATAGTCTATGCATAATCGTAGAGCCATTTAAGAGACAGGCTGCATAGAACAGCGTTAAAAGAAGAGATGTGCTTGTGATGTCCATAGTTTCACTCGAAACCCAAGGTGATAATAACGACATGATACTCACAAAAGATTTTACCTCATTTACGCAAGTCATACAATTGGCAGGGAAGAAATTTTGAATCATATGTGTGAGAAACTGCTTCTTCATGCTCACATCATATTTTTGTGCCAATTCCAATGAGAAATATTTGTGTTTTCTTTTTGTAAGAGACACAAGTTGACTATTATTTCTTATACTGCCATACAACACATCATATTTAAAGTGTTTGAACAGGAAGCCTTGAAGTTTCACTGGCGGTCTTGATGCTTTCATGGGTTGAAGTTGCTAACCTCACACTTAACCTACTTCCTCTCTCTCCTAGAACCACTACCATGTAGTACGCTTGAATAGGTCTAGGAATATGTCATCTGGTAGCGAAAATTCGGAGTAGGCTCATATTCAGCCGGCAGTTCAACACTGAACCACCAACACATTATAATTTTTTATTCCTTCATGTTCCCAGTGGCACATAGGGCTTCAAACTAGAGGCTTGAATTTTTTCTGTAGCACTTGTAATTATTTTTACAGCATAGATTTGCTAATCTCATGCTCAATCTTCCCTCATTACCAGTCGTATTACTGGCTTAGCGAGGTAAAAGAGTGCGTCGGTCGGGTACTAAACCCCGGACCATGTGCATGGTCGGCTGTACAACCGACACGCTATATTTATATACAAGAATGGTATTGTATAATCCTTATTATATACATGGATTGTGAATCCAGAAAAAAACAAGCATCAACTGATTCCTCCCTCCTCTCTTTCTATAGATAGAAACATACATAATGATCTGCCTGAATTCCAGTCTTATCAAAAATCTGTCATATATACGAGTATTGGTTTTGTAGGGATTTTGTTTGATTGCATGGAGGATTTAATCATGAGCTAACACCAGTTAGAGAACCACTGGAAAACCTGGGAGTACTGGACAGCTGTTTCGTCCTAGTCTGGGACTCCTCAGCAGTACGCACCCACCGGGATTCGAACCCAGGACCTTCTGGTTACAAGGCAAGCTCGTAGACCATCGAGCCACTGGGACCCGATCCAATGGTCCTTGAATTCTAACTTCTGCCAATTCACGACATAGCGCGACCACTTCGGAATGTCTTCTTCGATGAGCTACTGCCTCATCTTCAACCTGAAGTATCCTACTGGTGTCACGGCTTTCCACTAGAATTCCAGGTTAACTGCCTGAATTGGGCCAGTCCCAAACTAGGACGAAACAGCTGTCCAGCACTCCCAGGTTTTCCAGTGGTTCTCTAACTGATGTCAGCTCATGAATAAATCCTCCATGCAATATATACGAGCCTCTTTAGGATTTATCTTGTTTAAGTTGGAAATACATTAATAAAAAAAGATTTACGATGAATACTTACTTGAGAACAACACAGAAATAGTTAAAGAATCCTTTCAGTTCCTTTAAAAGATATCCAAAGTGTATGTATGTTTTACATGAAATTTGTGGAGTATAATAAATTAAACTTTCATAATGACAAGTGTATTACGGAAAAGAAGGTGAAAAATTAAAAATGCCAACTGCTAGATACGTTTGAAGAGTATCTACTAGAAGTAACTTAATGGTAATACGTTTCACACATTAGACAATTGACTTCTTTCTTATTGGATGATTCTATTGACCAATTATATTATTGATGTACATCCAGTTTAAGGCGGGAGAATGAAGATTTAAAAAATTTTCTAACTGCTTTGATTTTATTTTCGTCTCTAAAGAATGTATAGTTATTTATTTGTTCTTTATGCTGACAAGTGAGAAAACGATTCTAAGATTCAAGTGTACAAACGCTATTCGGACAACATTTAAGTTACACAATCCACGGGAATTAATTTGCAAATTTCGAATCAATTCGTCACCTACAATTTCCAAGTACTGGTTTTGTAGGGATTTTGATTGATTGCATGGAGGATTTCATCATGCGCAGACATCAGTTAGAGAACCACTGGAAAACCCGGGAGTACTGGACATCTGTTTCGTTCTAGTTTGAGACTCTTCACAGTACGCACCCACTGGGTATCGAACCAGTCTCCAGTAAGTCGGTGGCACAGTGGTTAGGAATCTCGTCGGCCATGCACATGGTCTGAGGTTCAATCCCCTGCCGACGTACACCTGATATTTATGATCGGCTTGCAAAATTTGGGCTACCGATATCCATGCTGAAAATTCCATACTTGTACCAAAAATACAGTGTGGAATCAATCTGTAATCAAAAATAAATAAAATAAATAAGTAAATGAAATATTCATGGTTTTCCATTGCCTACCTAAATGATATCACTTCATGATGAAATCCTCCATGCAATCAAACAAAATCCGTACAAAACCAACATTTGAATATTATTCTGATGCTTACTAGTGACTGACACTATTCAGGTAGTTAACCAGGGATTCTAGTGGAAAGCCGTGACCAGTAAGGTACAACAGGTCGAAGATGAGGTAGTAACTCATCGATAAAGACATTCCGAAATGGTCGCTCTGTGTCGTGAGTTGGCAGAAGTTAGAATTCATGAACCATTGGCTAAATGGTCTACGAGCTTGCCTTGTAACCCGAGGATCCTAGGTTCGAACGTTGTCGGTGGATGTGTACTGCTGAAGAGTCCTAAACCTGCAATTTCACCATAGTATCCTTTGTAAGATCTGTTGTGTACCACAAATTTTAAAAATCAGGGCTGATGAATGGATGTCACTCGTATCAATACGTGGTACTTGCCAGCCACAAGGATTAACGTGATACAAATACCGTATGAGAGTTTGCTCGTTTGTTTCCAAGTTAACCAGTGGTTCAACAGGTTCGGCTCAACTTAGAGAGTCCAGACCATTCGAATCACTCATGTGCTTTATTACTAATTAGTAGTTATTCACATACAGCTGACTAAATTTATGTCACTGACGTTAATATATTTCACGAAATAAATGATCCAATCATAAATCTTGCCACATGACATCGGACGACCTGAAAATACCAACCTACACATCCAAACCCTTTTAGAATGCAGGCAGCGAGCAGTATGAACTCAATGTACTAATTGTACCTTTTTGTGGTCTCAACTCATGAAACCGTTGTCTACGTCCTACTGTATAATTGATTAAAACTTTTGTGACAAGCCCAATGACAAAACGCTCCAAACATAGCAAAGTGACGAGTATTCATTGATAGACCTATGTAGTTCTATTCAACGCTTATAAAATTGAAAGCTAAAAATTACCTCAATAGTCAGTTTAGGCGGCTATAAGGGCGAAGTAGATTGTCAGGTACCAGAACAAGTACCGTGTAGTACAAATAAGCTAGTGGAAAAAAATTCAACTGTAAGAAGTATCCTAGAATCAAGTCGAATACTTCCAGCAAGGTAGCCTGAAAACTGTGTGTATGTTCACAAGAATCACACACCCAAAGGTTCTCAAAGACAGTCCAATATCAGGATGATCTTGGTTCACTAAAGCACAGTCACATTACAAAACAACACATTATCAGTAACAGAAGAACAATGTACAATGTCTAGGAGAAGTGAGGGAAAACTCTGGCAAAACTAAAGACTTCATCATACACATTGACACTGACTTTGGCGGCCTGCTTAAATCTTGGGATACCAATTACTTTAAACATTACAAATCATATTGCATCTAATTTCCCATTTCTAATTGACTTTTTAATCAATAAATCTTATTCAAATATGACCTCAAATCGGATTATTTATTCTCGTGAATATTTAATATCCTTAAAACCTACTGATCTGCAACTCCATAAAAAAGACAAGAAAAAGCATCATGCCGGCTGGCAGAGAGCATTAAAAAATACCCCTATTCAATTCATGACTGTTCCCGCAATTATGAGTACCAATTGTCGCTCCCTGCCGGCTAAAATTAACTGTCTTCAATCGCTGGTGTCTTCCATTATATATCATAATACTGGGATCATATCACTTCAAGAAACATGGCTTCATGATCTATATGATGACAATCTAGTGTATCTAAATAATTTCAAACTATTCAGACAAGATCGGTGTAGTTCCAGGAAGAAACGCGGTGGCGGTGTCGCCATCTTCATCAATTCACAATGGTGTACGTCTGTATGTTTCAAATTCTCTAGTGACAATATTGACTGTCTCACCGTTAAGTGTCGACCTAAAAATTTGTCAAAATACAACTACATTTACATCTCGAACATGTATATTGCTCCTGGATGCAACTCCACAGAATTATCTTTATTTGCGGATGAATTTACTTCCCTTGCTGCCACCTCCTTCGGAAATTCCTTGTCTATAGTTACTGGTGATTTTAATTCTAGTGACCACAGCTTCCTAATTTCACTTGGACACGATAATATTGTCAACTTCCCGACTAGAATGGACAACACTCTTGATCTTTGTTTACAAATGACGCAGGAATATTTGAAGCTCGAAAAAGAGCCCCACTACTAAATTCAGATCACTGTATCATAAGAATATTGCCCAAAGTATATGGAAAGCAGCACAAAAGGGTCTTCTTACACCTTGGAAAGAAAACACAACACAGATGTTATTCCCATGACAACATACTGAATCTAAGGTCCATGTTAAAAGACACAAACTGGGATCTATTTACTGAACAAGCTCTTGATAACACAATTGCCAACATAACACATTATCTTAATTTCTGTCTTGATGTTTGTTGTCCAAAAGAGACAATCTTCTTAAAATTCGATCGCTTCTCCTCTTCTCAACTCAAAAAGCTCCGCCGTGAAAAAGAAAGGTTGTTCAAAATGAAAAACAAATCTGGTGTTAAGAGAATGAACACTTTGATTAAGCTTGAATTACAAAGATTGAATGCTCTCTATAACCAGAAGTTTCTTTCATGTAAATCCCCATCAAATATGTGGAAGTTATTAAAGGAAATCACAGGTGGTAAGCAAATGTTGAATGATATTTCTGTAGATGTTAACATGCTTAATGAATCCTTCATATGTATCCCAGCAAATGTTATGATTCCTAACTCAAATAGTGTAAACAATGACTGCTTCTCATGCTTTAACACGAATGATGTCCTCAAGTGTCTTCAATCTCTCAAGCCTACTCAGTCCCTCGGTCCTGATGGTGTTCCTGCTGTTATCCTTAAGAAGTGTGCCGACATCTTGTGTTCCCCGCTAACTGACATTTTCAACGAATCGTTTTCCAAAAGTATTATACCTGAATCATGGAAAAACATCAAGATCGTTCCAGTGCCTAAATCTACAAGTGGACCTAATGTTAAGTTTAGACCCATTTCAATTACCTCACCCTTTTTGAAAGTTATGGAAAGACTTATTTTACTTAATCTTGATCCCTCTTTAAAACCTTTCAACGACCCCAACCAGTTTGCTTATAAACATAGTAGGAGTACGTTAGATGCCGCTGTCGTCCTCCACCATAGCATAGTCTCTAGTTTAGATAAAGGAGCTAAATACGTTCGCTGTGCCTTCCTTGATTACACATCTGCATTTGACTCTGTTCCCAGGTCTCTCTTGCTAAGTAAGCTTGCTGCAACACAGGCTGAAAGCTGGACAAATAAGTGGTTGCATTCCTATTTTTCTGAAAGGAAGCAGTACACCGTCTACAATGGAAAATCCTCCACTACCTCACTTACTTTAGCTGGTGTTCCTCAAGGTGCTGTTCTTTCTCCCTTTCTGTTCTCGTTTTTCTTACATGACTTGCCTCATTCTGATGTAGCCACTTTTGTTAAGTATGCCGATGACCTCTCGGTTTCTATGCCTGTCAACTCTCAGTCAGATTGTTCCAAATTAAATAACTTTCTGTCGGAAATTAGTCAGTGGTCCTCTTCAAACGGACTTAAGCTTAATCCGTCTAAATGTCAGGTAGTCAATTTCACTTTCAGACGTAAATGTGACCTACAGCAACTAGTTAGCTCACATGGCCCCACTCTCATTGACGGCACAGAGGTTGAAAATACATCTAATGTCAAGTACCTTGGGCTGAGTTTTTCCACCGATCTTTCCTGGTCTTCCCACATCTTGCTAGTTACTAGAAAGATGTTTCGCTTAACGTTCTACATTAGGAAATTTAGGCAGTCTGGCATAAAGCAGTCTTTGCTTTCTCAGTTTGTAAATTCTTGTATTCTACCCATCCTCCTTTACTGCTCCCCATTAGTCTTTCCTGGACTACTTAAGAAAGACTTTGCTTCGCTGAGAAGGGCACTAAAAGCTGTTAGTAGGGCAAGTGGGATATCGTTAAACCAACTGGTGAACACTATTGTAGATAGACATATTATATCATGTAAGAAACTAGCGAATACAATATTGTCGGACCCCGAGCATCCTCTCTATACGCATCTATCTCCTTGCATTTCATCTGGTAGAACTAGAAGCAGCTATAGGAGGCTATATGCTAGGACTACCAAATACAAAAACTCCACAATACCATATCTGGCACAGCTGTTATGTGATGAGAAATCCGTTAGGTATGACACGATAAACTTACTGTTGCACTCTAACAAATAGTCCCATTAGTTTTTGTTTTCCTTTCCTCGTTACTATCACACTGTTGTTCTCATCTTCTATCACACATCAACTTTATATTTCAAATCCTGTGGTGCATTGTTTGAAATGTAAACTCTACGCTGTTTGTTTTTTTATTTTTTTATTTAT